AGTTTAGGGTCAGGTAGGTACCTGTGAGGTTAGTTTAGGGTCAGGTAGGTATCTGTGAGGTTAGTTTTAGGATAAATGGTCAGGGTTATGATATAAAATTTAAAAAAATTCAATGGAAGTGAATGAAGTGTCCCCACAGGGATATAGAAACCAGACCTGTGTGTGTGTGCACACTGCTGGGCGGTGCTCAGGTGCGTCTGCAGGTYATAATACTGACTCTTACCCTCATGCCTTCAAATCTGGACAGGGCTCTGAGGGGCCGCAGGGCCCGCAGCGTGCGCAGGGATTTGATGGCTGCTAAGTCTGAATAACCCAAGGTGTTGGCCACCAAACTGATCAATGAAACCTGGAGGAGGGAGAGAGGAGGAGGAGGGAGACCAAGACGTGCAGAGAGGAGGAAGAGGAGGAGGAGGAGAGAAAGAAAAGAAGGAGGACGGTTAACTTCTATCCTAGCAGAGAGGAAAGGAGGAGAAGAAGCGTCCTGCTGAACAGAACCAGGTCCAGTCTGGATGTTGGACCTGTGGACCAGAAACAGGTGAGGAGCAGCCACTTCCTGCTCACAGGAAACAGTTTGAACACAGACGCTCTCGGGTCGGGTCAGCTCTGCCGGGTCTTACCCTGATACCGGCGAAGCGGGACGCGGCCCGGAGAGGCCGGAGCGCCCTGAACGTCCTCAGCACCCGCATGGTGGTCACCTGGTTGACCGGGATGAACTGGGCCAGCAGACCCAGCACCGAGATCTACGGGTCACACAGGTGAGACGGGCCGCTCGGTGAGGGGGAAGACTTTCAACGTGACACAACTCAGAGGAAACAACTAAACAACAACAACATGGAGCAAACATGTCAACATGTCCTCACTTCTGACTGACTCACAGCAAACATGAAGCTTTTAATTCTTCAGATTTATTCCTTTCAGCTGAGCTACAGACACAGGGACTGCAGTGCTTTGTTCTGATTGGCTGGGTTCTAGTCACATGACCTGGACGACACGTGGGGGCAGGAAGTGATTTGCTCTGGTTCTACATGGTGAAATGGATCACAGCTGATGCTATAACTGGGCTGATGTAGAAGAGATATGATAAAAACTATAGGTCCATTTAGGATGTGACTCATGTTAATAAATAGACACATCAGATAATCTGGAGGATTTATTGGTGTCGAGGAGATCAACACAAACTATCTGCTGCAGAGCTCGTTTTAACGAGGAGCCAGATGAAACCTTTCAAAGCCTCGAAGCTACAATGAGTTAGTTTCAGGTTGGTCGACTTGTTTCTGCCGGGTGAGCAGGGACTTGTGCTGTTTTAATTAGCCTACGATAACAATGCTACTGCTAACGCTAACAAGCTAACCTGTTGTTTGTATGTGCTTGGATCTACTTGTAAATTATTATTTTAGCTTTTGTAAACACAACTTCCAGTACGTGTCCAATAAAATATCTGAAAATAGGACTTAAATGAAACCATCCTGTTAGGAACTCCTCCATTGTTTCTTCCTCTCTTACTGTTTTTAGCCGCAGATRGTTGATCCACTTTTGGCGTCTATTTTCTGTCTCACTACTTTCAGAACATGAAAATAATTTTTATCTTTCTCCTGATTCAAGCTGCTGCAACAACCGAACACGTCACAGCTTTTAGGCATTTAGACGCTGAATCAACAGAAGGAAACGGGGTAATTTACTTCCTGCCCCCCACCACCACCTGCAGTTTGTGAAGTTGATACCGCGTCATCTGAAACCCAGTAATTCCTCCTTATTGTAACCACAAGCCCCGCCCCTTTTCTGAGACATGTCTCAGATCCATTCGTTTTGAGGCTGTCTCTTTAAATCCAAAACATGTGCTTCACACCSCGCCCCCCTCCAGGTCTCACTGTCAGTCATGACTGTCCACTCCTCCCTGTTTGGACCTGTTTGTAGTTTAATATCAGAGATGTGGTTATATAGCTGCGCAGGAGTTAAAAGATGTGAACAAGAGAAGACTTGTTCATCCAGTCTGACATGTTGGAGCCAGGGTCTGGACTCTGACAGGAGGCAGAACCTGAACTCTAACTGGTCAGGGACCACCTTGGTATCCACCTGGAGGAGCTGGAGAAGGTCTCTGAGGAGCAGGTCTGGATCACCTGACAGACCTGCTGCCTCCAGGACCTGACCCCAGAAGAAGAAGAAGGATCAGTGCAGATCAGAGTCGTTTCTTCTTCTTTTATCTTGAAGAACAAAGAGGTGGATCTAAAAACTCTGAGTTTGTTTTTGATCATTAAAAGTCTAACAGCTGGACTTCTGTTTTATTCATATCCAGATGTTTTCTCAGTCTGACCCTGGACAGGCTGTTTAAACTACAGAAGAAGCTCCGTGCTGAAACCTGGTCCATCTTGTTATTAAAACCAGGTCCTGGTCCAGAATCTAACCAGCTGTAATGGAACYGTCCTCAGGAGTTCTTCTTGTTTTCTGAGCAGAACTAAAGACTGATGCTGTTAGTTCTCTAACATCCACAGCTGTGGGTCTGCTTCTGTCTTCAGGACTCAGTCAGATCAAAATGTCACAACATGTCCCATCATTCATGAAGACAGCTGAGAGAGAAAGACCCCGAGGACGACAGAAAGACCGTCTCTGACTCACAACATGTCTGTATCATGTCAGTCATGCATCACGTCAGCTTCTTCCAGCTTTTGTTCTGTAGTTTCCTGACAAACTGTCATTAATTAAAGTGAATCCCAGCCTTTTATTAACCCTCAGCAGTGTCTGAACCCGACCAGAACTTACGTCGACGATGAGGAAGTCGAGCCAGCACCAGTAGTTGGTGAAGTACTTCTTGAAGCCGTAGGCCAGCCACTTCAGCATCATCTCCAGGATGAAGATGTAGGTGAAGATCTTGTCTGAGAACTCCAGGACCACTTTAACCACCCTCCTCTGCTCGATGTAGATGTCCTCAAAGGCCTGAGGGGGGCAACAGAGAGCTCCGTCAGGATGGACCAGACCCACAGGTGGCTCAGGTCTAACCCTCACATCAAACCCTGACTCTGTTTAAAGTCTGGGAACCGTTAAATGAAGCAGAATAAAATAATAAAGCACAGACTGACCAGAGCTCCAGAGCTGAGGAGGATCATGAAGATGATGAAGGACTCGAACCAGCTGTGCTCCACGATCTGGTAACAGGTCTTCCTCATCTTCCACCACATCTGACCCAAACCCGCCGTGGTGTCGATGTCGCAGCACTGAAACCGGGCCACGCACACTGAGGGGAGACAGAAAACTGTGTCCTGAAAACAAACTTTAAAACATTTTGACTTCAACAAACTTCTCCTCTGCATCTCTATAACCCAACATCTCAACATGCATCTTTGAGAGCATCGATCCTGAACTCTGAGAATGATTTGCTGCTGAATCCTAAAAGCATCCTGAAACAGAAGCAGTTGTTGGTTTGAGTGCTTCATCCAGCGGGTGGGGGTGGGGTGGGGGCGAGGTGAGGGTCAGATTTCAGCTCCATTCCCTAAAAGCTTGTGTTTTTTACTGAATCCAATCAAAGTGTCGACAAGAATGTGTTGAATGATGTGAAAATCACTCAAAAGGGCGTCTGAAGAGATTGACTGGTTGAGTGAGAGATGCTGACAAGCCCTGAGGGCGGCCATGATGGAGGCTGACAGAAGAGGAGAGACCATGTTGTTGTTAAAGACCTGATGGCTGAAACATCTAGAGGCAGGACAGCGGTGGAGAACAGTGAATTATTAATATAAATGTAGAAAGATAAAGGTCTGAGGGTAGAGCCCTGAGGCACACCATGCTATACTATACTATACTATACTATACTATACTATACTATACGTAGTAGAGTTCCCTTCCCATATTAACACTGCACATTTGATTAATGGAACACTTTTCTGGGGGTGGGGCATGAAAACAAATAACTAAATTTAAATGAGACATATTTGCTTCCACAGTTTGTTTCAGTAAATCCAACAGTTTATTTCTTAGGGTGAGTAAATCTATTCTTACTTTCTTGATTTTTCTGAACAGTTTTGTGACTTTTACTTAAGTACTTTCCTCATCAGGGAAATAAATTTTTACAAAAGTAATTTTCTGTTAAGGTATTTTAACTTCCATCTAACCAAGCTTTAAAATCTTTTATCAGCCAAAAGTCTTTTTGATCTTGTTTTGAGACTGATTTACTAAAAAAGAACAGAATGTATAAGATTAATAATCTTATCAGATTATTTGTCTTGTTAGCCTGAAAATTTGACAAGTGAAAATTTCTGCCAATGTAGTAAGAAATTTTACTTGGTAAGATTCTTGAAATAAGAAAAATTGAGTCAAATCAAGTATTTCAAGAATCTTACCAAGTAAATTTTCTTGCTCCACTGGCAGAATTTTTCACTTGAGAACAAGTTCCCAATAATAACTTTTTAAATCTCCAGATGTGGATCAGTTTGACTGATAAAGATGGAAATGAGATTTACATCATGTTGTCTTGAACACGTTAAGAACATGTGTTGTTTCCTCTGTCAGACAGCCTGAGGATGATGATGATGATGATGATGATTTGGCTGCTCTTCACTCTGATTACATCGTCTGCCTGCCTCGTTAATTACAGCCCTGATTACCCTGGCTTTCTGTTTCCATGGCGACTCATCTCCAACATGTCTGTGTGGTAATCCCAGAGCATCCGGGGCAGCTGTAATCTGACTGGTTCTGGTGTTTGTGTCAGGAAACCCCTCAGCCTGGGCTGGAAGAGGAAAACACTGAGCCTCATTAGATCACCTGTCGGTCGACCGGACGCCTCCTTCAGGAGCACTTCCTGCCGGGCCCAGCATTGATCCGTTATTGAGCGCTGCTCAAAGTGCTGCTGACCCACGAGCCCCCCGTCAGGAGACGGCGTGGTGCCGACACATCAACACAGCGTTCAGCACGGCAGACTTCCTGTCTTTTATCCTCCATGGAAATGTTTTCATTCAGAAAGCTGCACGGTTAGTTTCCAGCAGCACAAAGAAGTTCTGTCAGAAGTCTGATCAGAACCAGAACCTCCAACAAATAAAGATGGACAAGTTGTACCGCACCGGTCTGTGACTGAACACAGCCTTCAGCAGCCTTCTGCAGCCTTCTGCAGCCTTCTGCAGCCTTCAGCAGCCTTCAGCAGCCTTCTGCTGTCCTTAAAACAACTGAGCTTCAGTAAAACTACAGTCTGTCAGGAAACAATCGTTTAATTATCAACAGAACCGAGCCGTGCCGTGAACAGAACTGAGCCGTGCCATGAACAGAACCGAGCCGTGCCATGAACAGAACC